GGAGTCCTCACGTGGCCCTGCCTCTGGCTGCCAGGTGTGTGAGCCCTACATGAGGGTCCTCACCATTCCAGTTTTATGAGCACTGTCTCAGTGACTACTTACCAAAATCAAGGTAACAATTCTGTTCCTTGCTGAGTGACTCTAGATGCCCTGAAAGATACATGTGATGTAGCTTGTGTTTTGTAGCATACTGTCATTCTTAGGGTACATGCACATTCTTTGATTTGATTCCTCCGTGAACAGTGTAAATCATTGCTCTGTAGGTAACGTGGCGTTAGTGTGATCCCCCAGCCATCTGTTTTTCTTGTTTCCCTTTTTCTCCTTCCTTTTCTTCGCTCCCTCTCTCCTTCCATGCAAGCTTCTAAATGGAATCTTAAGATCTTGTGGTGACTACCATGAATTTTTAAGGGCGAATTAAAAATTAAACCCTGTACTCTCTAATTCTTTAAGTGACCATACCACATCTTGCTAGTTTTCCTTGGTCAAGGTGTTAAAAGACTTTAGGCATTTCATGGAACTCATTACGCTTTCAGTCAAAAGCTATGCTGTGTTCATTCTTTCACCAGATCATACAGTCTTCATTTCATGGGTTAAGCTACACATTTTATAATTGTGATGAACCTGAATTGCATCAGTTTACTTAATCTGGCATAAAGGGAGTGCAGAGAAGTACAGGGAAAAAGGGGATCCAGGGGGAGGCGACCAGAGCTGGTCACTTGCAGCTTCTGTCTCTGGAATCATACAGTGTTGTTGCCCTTTTTATTTTTTAAGGTTAAATGTGACTCGAGGCTTGTCTGTGCTCCACGTTCAAGATTGTTTCTATTACTCTATGTTTTTTGGGAAACTATGGAAACCCTGTCATATGAATGGGGAGGGCGACCTGAACTTGGCATTTCTGCAAGGCCAGGCACAAAGGAGGTTTTCGCCAAATATTTGATTGAATTATTAAACTGTCAGAGAAATCTCTGCAAATACGTTTTGTAAAGAACAAAAAAATCTAAATTAAGAGGTTAACTGTCTGGAAGAATGCTTTTATTTTTATTAAACGATGACTTCTGACATTCCCAAACTGTTTCTCAGGGCGGGTCCCGGTGAGAGCCTTTGAAAGCACCAGCTCTGCTTGAAAGCCGTGAGCTTGAGTTCATTCAAATGTGATGTACATATACCTTGTTGCCCTCTTTGGGAAGTCATGGCGTGTAACTTCCTCTGTTCTCTGCTCCCGACTGATGAAATATTTCCTTCTCTGTATGTTGCAGTTTTGTGATCTTATAATTTTAGTTGCAATTTAGCACAGACTTGGAGGACCTGGGTTCAGAACCATATTCTGTGGTTTCACATCCAGGTTCTGACTCTCAGTTGTCATCTCTACTTCTTAGTGTCCTTACCTTAAAATCTAACTTAATAATACAGTAATGTGCAAATTAACCATCACTCTGCTAAATAAGCCATGTCCACCAGCCAATCAGGACAAGTATGCAAATAGACCCAACAAAGATGGCGGTTAATTTGCATATCAAGGCAGTGTAGAAAGAAGCGATACCTGTAGAAGGGAGCTAAGTTGTGGAGAAGCAAGTGGGGCGGTGGAGAAAGGAGGAAAGCAGGCTAGGTAGTACCGCAGCAGGAAGCTCTATTGCAGGAATCTTCCTGCAACGGGCCACTAGTACTATTATAAAGAAACAAATACTGCAAGTAAATAATACAGCCAAATCTCTGTAAATCTCATAGAACATGTCTGAGTGAAATGGAAGAACATTGCATGCTTCCACTCTCTGTTTTGGTATGGCTCACGAGCTAAAAATGTTTTATATTTTTATGTGGTTGTAAAGAATCAGAAGAATAAATATTTTGTGACACATGGACGGTATATGAAATTCAAATTTCAGAACCCACAAATAAAGTTTATTGGAACCGAGTCATCATTCCAACCAGGTTACTTGTTTATATGATGACAGTGGCTGTTTCCACATTACAGCTGGATAGAGAAGTTTCAGTAGAGATCAGCCCCTTGGCCAGCAGCACTAACCTGGGTACTCACTGGACCTTTACAAAAGACATTTTCTGATTCCTGCCATAGGGCACAAATCACTGAATCACCACGTCTGCCGATGTTACTCTCCAGGTTGTAGATAGAACTTCCTGTTAGGCTTAGGTTGTTTTTTCCCAATCCACATCTTGGACAAATTGTGCTTGTTGGGGATATGTAGTGTTATGTATTGATTGGCCATATGTGGGGTGAGTATGGCTATGCTTTTGTGTAATTTTGAAACACAGATTTGGATTTGTATGAGCATTGCTACGTTCCCAGAGGAAAGTCACATGTTGTATTTGTTCTCTTTGGCCGTCCTGCACGTGGTTCTCCTGAAGTTCGCAGATGGGAGTGAGTACACACTGATAGTACCATCCTTGGGGGTGGTGTGAGAAAGTACTACGATAAGTTGACAGCACAAAACATATTTCTTATTGATTGCCAACAATATTTATCTGAAATTTTGAAATAGAATGAAGAAAGAGTTGTTATTATGGTACCGTTTCTGTGTCTAAAGAAAATAAAGGCATTGGCTGACCTTGTGTGAGTGAGTGGCTTCTAGAAAGACAGGATTGGGTCTCAGTCATCTTTTTTGCAACAGAATGCTCCACAGGGAAACTTTCTCAAAATTTGTTTAGTAAATGAATGAATGAATGCATGGTATACGAGAGAGATAAAAAGAGTGTCTCATTCAGAAAAATTAATGCTGTTTCTTAGTTAACGCCTCCCACTTTACCGTTGAGTTGCAGTTGAGGTTAAGGAGGAATCCAGTGAGTGTTCTGCAGAATTATGCCATCTCATGGTGCATACCTAAAGCACAGGTGTGCTCTTGTGTCAGCACATTTAGTCTTGAATGGGATGTACCTTTCGTGAATTTAGGACCTGGAAGATATTTCTCAATGAATTGACACTACCATGTACTCAGGTTCAGAGCTTGCTTTTACATTTCTTCCTGGAATAAATAAGTACTTATTTGTTTTATCCATCCTTTCAGTCATTATTGAAATTTTATGGCACCTTTATGCCAGTAGAAATATTAAAGTTAGGAGTTTATGAGATGAATGACAATATCTACTTATTGAACATCTGTCATCTTAGCTGTATTTTTGTTTATTAAATTCTCATGCAAGGATATGTTTTACCAATTTAGAGAGAAGGGGAGGGGGGAGGGAGAAGGAAGGGAGAGGGAGAAGGAGAGGGAGAGGGAAAGAGAGAGAGAGAGAGGGGAGAGAGAGAGAGAGAGAGAGAGAGAGAGAGAGAGAGAGAGAGAGAGAGAGAGGCAGTGATCTGTATGCACCCCTATTGAGGATTGAACCAGCAACCTAGCTATGTGTCCTGACAGGGATGGAACCTGCAGATTTTCAGTGCACAGTGTGTGCTCCAACCAATTGAGCCACACTGATTGTTTATTTTTAATAGATGAGCAAATAAACACAGAAAAACAAGTAACTTGCCAGAGTTATACGGTGGGTAAGAAAAGCTTTTCTTGTTTATAGTGAGATTTGATGGGCATTCATAATTAGTTGTTACATTACAGATATTTGCATGTATTTTATTTTATATTATGCTGTTTTATATTACCTTGCTTATACCTGGAAAGTGAATTTGAAAAAGGTTCAATGCTGCCTGGACCTTATCATCATTATTTCCTACTATCCTTCCTGTGCTTAGATTGCCCTGTTTGTTTCTCCCATGAACTTGACCTCTATTCTTGTCTCTTCACTCTGAGACCATGGTTGTTCACCTGCCCGTGAGACGGAATATGATTATTTGGTGGCAGGTTGCTGAAGTGCACTTTGGTTGGTGGAGGAAGGGGAAGTCAGAGGCTGCAGGTAAGGAGGCCACTTCTGGCCTTTGCTTTCCCTGAGAGCAGCTGGGGGGCTTTACTGTGCAGGAGACTTCCCTTGCTCCTGAGATACTTCTGCCTCTGGACCGTCTCCTGCATCATGCGAATCTGTTTGTTATTGCAGTCCGGGGAGATAATCTTTGTGTCCCCGACACCATCGCTGCTCAGGAAAATGAGAACTGGGAAGTGAAGAGTAGCTTTATTTAAATACAAATGAGTCATAGTTTATTTTTTACTGATTCTATGATGAAAACTTGGCCATACTTCCCCTCACTTAAGAGTATTTAGAGCATATGGAAAAGCCGCATGTTAGAAATTGTTTGTTGACTGACGGTTGCACGTCATTAAGAAATGTAATGAATGAAGAGGAGAGGTAAAGATGATACATGTGAAGTTTCTGGAAACCTCAGACGTCTCCCCCTCTCCTCCTCCATTTCAAGCTCAGAGGAAAATTTTGCTTCATATGACATTATGCATATGTTTTTTAAAGTGAAAAGGGAAGAAAAAAATAATTATTGCTTATAAAATATATTTATTACTGAAAGCATCTAGGACTATTGAGAGGATGAGAGTTTAAGAATCCTATAAGCTTTGTGATGGAAAACACTGAACCGATACTGAGCTTCCACACAGAGCTCAAAGCATGTTAATCATTCAGTATTGAAATAGCTAGCAATACAGACCTAGCACCCAAGAGCTGAAATTCATGCTCGCATAATGGAAATGCAAACAGACATTCTCCTACCGTGAACGTAAGGGCAGTGATGGACTGAGGACCTGCATACTTTTCATTGGCCTCTGCACCCAGGTGTTTGGAGGTTCATTTACATTTTCACTGTATCTTCTTATTCCTTCTCAGGACCATATACCATCATCATCAAGGCATAGTGACATCAACCACAGCTTTATTTGCTCCCTTTCTAGGAGATAATGCACTTTAAATCCTTCAGCTCACAACATTTGTGATGACATTTCAACGTTCTCTATGTTTGTATTTGTTCTTTTTATACAAGGCAAAGCTGAATAGTCAGATGATCATTAGAAAAAAATAAACCATTCATTTGCCTGCCAGGCATGTATGGAATTTTTGCGGCTGCATTAAGTGGTATTTTACTGTTTCTTATGCAGAGTGGGAAGCCGCCCATCAGCGATATGTTCACAGACCTCAAAGATGGAAGGAAGCTGCTGGATCTTCTGGAAGGCCTCACGGGAGCATCGCTGGTGAGAGGCGTCAGCCTAGGGAACCAGGCCCAGGCATTGCCTGTCTCCCAGCGTTAGTGGTACTTGAGGACCCACTGGGGCTGCTCAAAATGTAAAAGCTGAAATACAGATGTTAAAAAAAAAGTGTTTCAATGAACGTTTCGATAGAGCAATATTCAGGTTTCCTGGGAGGGTGCTATATGTTTATCAAAGATAAAATGACTCAAATGTTTGTTCTTGGACAGCACAGTAGAGAATTATAAAGAAGAATGGAAAAGTAAAGCGGTCACAATGTTTTGAATAGCAGAGCATATAAAAACACGGTTCAATGTTATTTAACAAATATTAAAACAAGGCTGTTCAAATTATGATATTTATTTATTTATTTTTTAAAAAAATATATTTTATTTACTTTTTTTTTTTTACAAAGAGAAAGAGAGAGGGACAAAGTTAGAAACATCAGTGAGAGGGAATCATCGATCAGCTGCCTTTTGCATACCCCCTACTGGGGATGTGCCTGCAACCAAGGTACATGCCCTTGAGGAATCGAACCTGGGACCTCCCAGTCTGTAGGCCGATGCTCTATCCACTGAGCCAAACCAGTTTTTGCAATGAGATTTATTTTTATTCAAATTTTCAGTATTATTTTATTTTTCCATCAAATCCCACTCTATTACTTTATGTGCAAGGCACTGTACACTTTCCCAGAAATAGCTCTGCTAATGAAGAGGATGCAGTTTTATGAATACAGACTTGAACACCGGAGGTAGAATTAGTATAAGAGGAATAGAGAGATGCACTCCCAAATATGAATTCCTTTCTTACCAAAGTGTGGGGTGCTACACTCTCCCTTTTGCCTTCCCGATGGTAGGTAGGCCTGTTGAATTGGCTGATCCCTCTCTCAGACAAGATTCCCTGGCCAGTGAGGCAGGAAGAAGCCTCCCAGATCACCTTTCCCCAGTGGCAATTCCTGCCTTCCCAGTGGGCCCTTGCAATGCTGGCTGGAACCTGGGATAGTGCCCCTGAGTCCCCCTGCTCTGTCTGCATTTGTGAAGTGTGGATGTAATGCGATTTCTATACTTCCTTCACCCAGACTGATTTAGAGAAAAGAAGCTCTGTCCCCCAAATTGGTCTGTGCCTTAGAATCACTGGGGAATTCTAACAATTCCAAACCTGCACTGCATCCGACTCACTAGGTTAGAGAGGCACTGGTATTTTTGGAAGCACCCGGGGAGGGTTCAGTGTCCAGGCAAGCTAGGGAATGACTGCCTTAATGTGCTAGATTGGGGAAGTTTTCTCCTTCAGCACCAGCCCCCACATGGCCTGACAAGCAGCCAGAGCTTCCCGCATAGAGGGGTCTCCATGCCGAGCTGTTGTGTTCTGTCAGTCTCAGTGTTGTTTTTGGTCAGGCTGTGGAGGGACTGTCTCAATTGATGTTGTGTTTTGTTTTCCAGCCGAAGGAACGTGGCTCCACAAGGGTGCATGCTTTAAATAAAGTCAGCAGAGTTCTGCATGTTTTGCATCAGAACAATATAAGTTGGTCAGGTGATGGGGCCCCATGGGTGCCATCTGGATTATTTACTGTTGAAACCAGCCACCTGCTCTGTGCATGGACCTCCGCTCCTTTATGGAAACATTTTCCTATGAGTGAAGGAGTAGTCACTCTTTTTCTTATTAATGATTTAGGGTAAAAAGAACACATTTTTTTTTTTTGATATATAAGTTTACCTGATTTCTCTGATCATTCACATGTATGGCTGTCTAGATGTGCTCAACCAAAACCCTCAGCTTCCGTGGAGAACTTGTCTTATTTTCTTTATCTAACCTTTATTCTCTCTTATTGTGTCAGGTGGATTTGGTGAATATCGCAGGAACTGACATTGTAGATGGAAACCGCAAGCTGACACTGGGTTTGCTGTGGAGCATCATTTTGCACTGGCAGGTGGGGGATTTTCACTTATTACTGGGCATTGGAAATGTGTCCTTTGTGTATTCGTTTCTTAGCTCTGCATCACAGAGCACCACAAACCGGGTGGCTTCAACAACAGAAGTTATTTTCTCCCAATTCTGGAGGCTACAAATCTGAGATCAACGTGTCAACAATGATTTTTTTTTTTCCTGCAGCCTCTTTCCTGGGCTTGTGGGTCCTTTTTCCCTCTGAATCCACATGGTCTTCCCTCTGTGTATGTCATATCCTAATCTTTGCTTCTGATGCCAAGAAACTAGTCATATTGGATGAGACCCCTCCGCTCCATATTATCTCCACTTACCTTAATTACCTCTTTCAAGACTCTCTAAATACAGTCACATTACAAGGTACTGGGGGATAGGACTTCAACATAGAATTTTGTGGAGGGCACAGTTCAATGCCTAACTGCCTAACCGTTTGGAATGAAAGAAACTGACAAACTGCTCTATTTTCCTAGCCTAGACAAAAAGAAGATGCCTTTTTAAAATATTGAATTTAAAAATTTCAGACATCAAAACCTTGCTAAAATAGCTTAAAGAATTTCCAGGTACTGTTACTCAGATTCCCCAAAGGTTAACAATTGTCTATATTTGTGTTTTCTCTTTTTCTCTTTGCCTAAATACTTCAGTGTGTATTTTCTGAAAACAAATTGTTCTCCTAAAATCAAGGAATTCTCTTACATAACTACTATATATTAACATAATATAAAATGTGTATGATAACATTAATAGTTCTAACATACTTACCATGTCTCTTTTATCTCTTTAATCCAGAATAGTTTCTGAGTGTTTGTGTTTTATGATATTGTCAATTTTGAGGAGCGCTAGACTGTTATTTTGTAGAATCTCCCTTTCTGTGGGTTTGGCTGATATTTTCTCATGATTAGATTCAGGTTATTCATTTTGGGCAGGCATGCCACAAAAGTGACGTTGATTTTTTCTCAGTGCACTCACCTGGAAGCACACACTGTCCGTTAGGCTTGTTCTGGCAGAGTGAACGTTCATTGTTTGGGTAATGTGGTATCTGCCTATGCCTCTACCAAACGTGACTGCCCTATGTTATTAAAAAATGTCTTGTGAGATATACTTGAGACTGTGTAAATATTCAGCTACTTATCAAATCTTCCCAATTAGTTTTAAGATCCATTCATAATTTTTAGCTGATCAGTTATTATTATGATGCTTGGCCAAAAGTAAATTTCTAATGTCATTGTTCCTTTTATATTGTAAGGAAGGGCGTCCCCTTGTCTCTTTTTTATCTGTTTATCCATCTACTTTTTTATTCATTCAATCTACATGCAGTGTACACTCAAGGATTTTTACGTATTTAATAGGCTGTAATTTTTTGCTATTATTCTTTACTAGAGGCCTGGTGCATGAAAATTCGTGCACTGTGGGTGGAGGAGGGGGGTCTCTCAGCCCAGCCTGCCTCCTCTCATGGTCTGGGAGCCCTAAGGGGATGTCCTACTCATGGCTTAGACCTGCTCCCCATTGGTCTAAGCTGCAGTCTGGCCTTACTGTGTGAGAGGCAATCAGGCCAATCAGGGGAGGTGCTGCCCCCATCAGCACGTTGTTGCTGTCACTGCTGGCCACAGCCACCTGCCCTTAGCCCTTGCAGCTGCTGCAGCTGCTGACTGCCCTCAGCGCTTGCAGCCACCCCTCTATGCTTTGTCCATAAGGACGTCTGGAAGGACATCCAGAAGACATCTGTCTATCCAGTCTAATTAGCATATTACCCTTTTATGAAAATAGATTTGACGCTTAAAGTACACTAAATTTGGCCCATGTGATTGACCCCCCCTTAAATCAGCTGTGTCATTTTGACATATGCATATCATTCTTTGAGCACTTCCTTAAAACACATGTATTTCTTTAGAATAATACTGTGCAATATTAGTTCTTGATTATAATCAGGAAAGTTACTTCATTCTTTGATTTTGCATTCAGTCAAAAAAGTCTTCCTTGCATCCTTATCTTTTGTAGAAAATCAAAACAGTTGCTTTTCTATCAAAAGTTCTTTGTAAATGTATAGTATTAAAATATTACTCTTTTAGGGATTATGAAAGTAATGTTTATTGTAACTGAATCTAATATGAGTATTGTTAAGATACAGAAAGTATGGTAATGTATAATGGTGAAGTAAAAAATCACCTTCTAAATTCTAGTACTTCAAAATGATCGCTGTTTAAAGGGAAATTTGAAATAAATTGAATCACCAGTGACCTGATCCCTATGGTTAAGTAATGAAATAGTTCTCATTCAAGGACTCGATCCCAGTAGCTGCTTTACGTCATAGGCGGACATGGTTTCTCTGGCAGGTGAAAGATGTCATGAAGGGCATCATGTTAGCCTTGCAGCAGACAAACAAGGAAAAGATCCTGCTGAGCTGGGTGCGCCTGTCCACCAGGCCATACAGCCAAGTCAATGTCCTCAACCTCACTACCATCTGGGCAGACGGGCTCGCCTTTAACGCCCTGCTCCACCGACATAAGTGAGAATGACTCTCCTTAGTTGTGGACTTTCCAGATGTGTATCTCCTCCCTCCCTCCCTCACTGCTCCTCCCTAAAGCCCCTCCCCACTAGCCCTGCTGTCCTTTCTGTACACGTCCTACCAAAATATTAAGAAAAGTGAAATCATGGAAAAAATCTAACCACCAAGTCTTTATTCTGTGGACTTAAATGGCACAGCACAGCCACAGCTGCTTCTACATATTCATAAGTTAAAACATGTAAAATGATTCACATAGTTCAGTCCCACTCATTCAGCACTAATCAGAAATATATGCAAAGAATTGTGCTAGTGTCCATTCTTATACCAAAGGGAAAGTTCTGTAATTCAGTGCAGTCCCGACTTATTATACAAAATTATTTTTTTTCATGAAATTTATAAACAGATTCTAAATATATGAAAGACCAAAAGCCCATGAAGAGCCAGTACAATTGTGAAACAGAACTAGGCTGAAGTACTTCTCAAACAGAAACCAAAAGTAATGATGAAGCTACATTAATTAAAACTATGGTGCTATAAATAAGTACGCTAATTTAATTACGGGCTGAACCATATGAAATTGCCAGTGCTTGACTGTTATTTTGACATGTAACAATGGCAGTTTCTATATCAACCTAACAGAATTAAGGACTCAGAAATAGCTCCATCCTGATATATAACTGAACTGATTGCTATTAAAATAGATGGTATGGGACAACTGGTTACCCATATGTAAGTAACTGAGTTGGATCTTTACCTCACCTTCCCCACAAATAAATTTCAGATGCATCAAGGATTTAAATGTGAAAGGTGAAATTTCTTATATGTTTTATTGCCATTTTAAATAATTTATTGTTTCAAGTTTTGTTTCCTGTATATGCTGTGCTTATAATATATAATTGATACCACTACATCTTAGATCTAGAAACTTGTTAAAATTTTAAAAATTAAGTTTGTTTCTGCAGACTTAACGCATTTTTGGTAGACCATCCATTGATTATAATAGTCCCCTCCTCTCCCCTTCCCTTCACCCTCTTCCTCTTCCCTCTCCTCCCCTCCCCTTCTCTTTTTCCCCCTGTTCATTTGTGCCTTGCCTTTCAATACAATATTGATTTGAATTGGTAATAATGAGAAGAATATTTTGTTCTTGAAAATGAAGGGCATGTTTTTAATGTTTTACAATAATAATGATATTTGCTGTAGCTTTTTTTGAGATATATAATTAAAATTTGGTTAGAGAACCTCCACACCCAATCTTTTTCACTGTATCAGTTTAGAGAGGTTAACTGTTCCTACTTGGATAAGACATGTAGTCAGAAAACTTGAGTTTTAGCCTAAACTTTTTTCCACTAACTACCTAATTGGTTCAATAAGTGTGTTTGTAGTACTTTTCCTGTGTTAGGCTCAGGTTGTATAACAGAGAAAAAAGGCAAACACCCCTATCTCCTTGGGGTTTATGTGCAATTAGAGGGAGGCAGACAATAAAGAAAGAATAGGAAATGTGAGTTGTGTAGCAGAAAGCTGTGGTAAACATGCTGAAGAGAAGTGTAGCTGGCAAGAGGGGGGCCAGTGGGTGCAGGGTGTGAGTAGGAATAGTAATAGGAGAGGAAGTCTGAAAGGAATCAGGGGTGGAGTGGGCGAGGCAATCCCAGGAAGTAGGTGAGTGTAGGATGCAATAACAGATGGAGTACACAAAAATGATCAACTTTTGTGTAAGTCAGCACACAAAATGTCCAGTTTTTAGGATTAAAAGAAAATCTAGATAGACATGAAATACTAAGCAATGTAAAATGGAGAGGGTGAATGGAGGGTAATTCTCTCAGGACTTTTGGTTTTGGAATATCCTGTGTAAGCTGGATTTTCCACTCTGCTAATATTGGTCTTTCAATAAGAGAATTAATTCATTAGTATTAATGGTGGTAATTGATGTATTTAGGTTAATTTTTCATTTTTTTAACCTATTTATTTTGAGCTTTTTATTTCTTTTTCTATATCTTTTTTCTTTTTATCTTATATTAATAGGTTCATCCTCCTCTTATTTTTCTTTTACTATTTGGAAAGTATTATATACTGTTTTTAATCTTCTAGTGATTACCCTAGAAAATTTAATAGGTATGTTTAGCCAATACAGGAAACTTAGAATAGTTTATCCATTGTTTTTATTTTTATAAGTTACTTTAAAGTAATATATATTTGACAAAGTTTTAGTATATAAAGTTAAACTTTTTAATTTAAACTCACAAACAAAATAATCTAAAACTGCAATGTGTTAGATTATAACAATGACCACTTCATTTCCACATGTGTTGTCTTCAATGTATTTTATTTGTGTGGTATTTTCAGACCTGATCTCTTCAGCTGAGATAGAGTTTTCAAGATGTCCCCTACTGAGAGACTTGAACATGCATTCAGCCAGGCTCAAATGTACTTTGGAATTGAAAAGCTGTTAGATCCTGAAGGTATTGTGCAGTGCTTAAGTTTAAACTTGATTTTGCTGCACAATTTTGGATATTCGAAGAGCAGTGATATTTGTTGTTGTGGTTTGTTATTTTAGGAGGAATTATGAGAACTGAGCAGTGTTCTTTCGTTTGAAACATGGTGCAAGCCATTTTATCGCCGTTATCGGAACTTTTGTACTTAACAATTTGTAGGATCCTGTAGGAGGAAATTTAATTACCTCATTGGCGAATAGTTATTTGATACCAGCAGAAGAGTTAAAGTTTTAAGAAAATATAATTATTAGATAACCAATTCAGTATTTGGTTTAATTTTACTGAAATGCAGTTTTATACTAGTACTACAGGCCAGGTACAAGAAATTTATGCACAGGGAGGGTGGGGAGGTGAAGGGAAGGGGTGTCCCTTAGCCCAGCCTGCACCCTCTCCAATCTGGGACCCCTTGGGGGATGTCTGACTGCTGGGATCAGGCCTCAACCAGCATTCGGACATCTCTCTCTCAATCTGGGACTGCTGGCTCCTAACTGCTCACCTGTATATGATGTGAAAACTTTAGTTACAAATGTTGTGGAATTTAATTCTAGACTTACTTTTATAATGTTAATAAAATCTGGCATTATCTTAAATGTCAGCGTATCTTTGAGCATTTGGGAAAAGCTTATAGGGAAGAATTTAAAGAAATAAGATACTGAACAAAATTAAGAAAGTGTCTATGCCTTGTCTCTTCTATCATTATATGAAGCATAAACTTAATGAGCTATGGTACTGCAAAAATTATATAATAGTATTGTTTATGGGTGCTGAGAATAGTTATTTTATATTTGCTACTGAGCTGTTCACATATTTTGTACATCTAATTTAAGCTGGTCTTTATTTCCTTCCCCTTTTAGATGTTGCTGTTCAGCTTCCTGACAAGAAATCCATAATTATGTATTTAACATCTTTGTTTGAGGTGCTACCTCAGCAAGTCACCATAGATGCCATCCGTGAAGTAGAGACTCTCCCAAGGAAATACAGGAAAGAATGTGAAGAAGGAGATATTAATATTCAGGTAAAGGTAAATTTTTATTGAAATGTTTGACTGGCTGTCTTTCTTATCTCTTAGTTACCAGATAAAAACACTTTTAGAAGATTTTTTTCTTTCCTTGTAAAAGAATGTTTTTATTAATTTTATAGAGAGAGGAAGGGAGGGAGAGAAAGAGAAACATTGATTGGCTGCCTCCTACTGGAGACTGTGCCCCAAACCCAGTCATGTGCCCTAACCAAAAATCAAACTGATGACCTCTTGGTGCATAGGGCCAACGCTCCACCAACTGAGCAGCAATGGCCAGGGCAGAGGATTTTTTTCTTGACTGAGAACATCTTGGCTTGTCCACTTGCATATGCCTTGGAAGTTCAATTTATCAGTTAGCATGCTGTCACATGTGTGTATCAGAAAACCATAACTCAACTGATTTCTTAAGAAGAAATGCACTGCTTCACACAATAAGGGGGCCCTGCTGCATGATTTGCTGAAGAAGCAGTGATTTCCCATCATTTGGTCACCATCTTCATCAGTGTCATTTTGTATGACAGATGGTTTCTCTCATGTCAGCTTTGCTTTGTTCTAAGTACTAGTTTTCTTTTTCTGCTTTTCATTTCGTCTTTAGCAAAAGGATTTTTACCATTATATTTTCACAAGGGCTATCAAAATACAAGGTTTATTTTTTCTTTCATTTAGAAGGAATTACAATATGTTACTCAGTGGGTTTTTCACTTAAAGATTTATAATACTTTTACTCATTAGGATAAAGATTCATTTTTTAAAATAAAGTCATGAATTTTTCTTCCTGAATTATCCTGCCCTGAATTAATACATATTTAATGTCTGTGGGATATAATCTAACTGGTTCTCTGAATTCATAAAATGAGAGAGTTTTAACAGTTCGGTAAGACCTTAAAATGTCATTCAGTCAAACGTTTCAGCAAACAAGAGATACACATGAATTTCAAAATGATAAGAAATATATTTTAGAGAGACAGAAGCATGGAGTTTGAAGCTTAAATTATATTCCTGTTCCTGCTTTTTGTGATTTGTTTC